TGTTCATGCTGTACAAGAACCTAATAGTTATCGCGAGGCAGTTCAGCATGTAGAATGGCGCCAGGCTATGTCTGAGGAACTCTCGGCTTTGGAGAGTACTGGTACTTGGGAGCTTGTGCCTCTTCCTCCAGGTCGCTCCCTCGTATCTTGCCGATGGATATATAAGATTAAGACTCGTTCTGATGGCAGTATTGAGCGTTACAAAGCTCGTCTGGTTGCTCGAGGTTTCTCGCAAGAGTATGGTATCAACTATGAGGAGACCTTTGCTCCAGTAGCAAAGATGACATCTGTCCGTGCTTTATTAGCTGTTGCTTCAATTCGCAGTTGGCCTCTCTTTTAGCTTGATGTGAAGAATGCTTTTCTTCACGGTGATCTTCAGGAAGATATCTTTATGCAACCTCCGCCTGGTCTTGCTCATACCTCTGGACAGGTTTGCCGCTTGCGACGGGCTCTTTATGGTCTCAAATAGGCCCCTCGTGCTTGGTTTGAGAAGTTCAGTGATGCTATTCAGTCTGCTGGTTTCATTCAAAGTGAGGCTGATCATGCTATGTTTGTTCATACCTCTTCTTCAGGCTGCACTATTCTTCTTCTTTATGTTGATGATATGGTCATCACCGGAGATGATCGTGACCATATTGAGCATACCAAGCGGCGCCTTCAGCAACATTTTGACATTAAGGATCTAGGACCACTGCGCTATTTTCTTGGGCTTGAGATTGCTCGCAGTTCACGTGGTATTCTCATTTCTCAGCAGAAATATACCGCTGATATTCTGTCCAGGACTGCTCTATCATATTCACGTCCTGCTGTCACTCCTATTGAGCTCAATCAGAAGTTTTGCCCAGACGATGGAGAACCTCTTTCTGATGTCATCCGCTATCGGACCTTGGTTGGCAGTCTTATTTATCTTACTATCTCCCAACCCGACATCGCCTATGCTGTTCATGTTGTCAGTCAGTTTGTTACTGCTCCTCGAACAACTCATTATGCAGCTGTTCTAAAGATTATGCGCTATCTTCGAGGCACTTTATCGCGTTCCTTATTTCTACCATCTTCTTCTGCTCTCAAGTTGCGTGCCTATTCTGATGCTGATTAGGCTTCCAATATCATTAATCGCAAATCTATCACTGGTTATTGCATTTTTCTTGGCGATTCACTTATTTCTTGGCGTTCCAAGAAACAACATATTGTCTCACGCTCCTCTACAGAGTCCGAGTATCGTGCAATGGCCGACACTACTGTTGAGATTGTTTGGCTTCACCGCTTACTTGCTGACATGGGAGTTTCACTTCTGGATCCTACTCCTCTGCATTGTGACAACAAGAGTGTCATTCATATCGATGCAAATCCAGTCTTTCATGAGCGTACCAAATATATTGAGATCGATTGTCATCTGACTCGTCATCATCTCCAAGCTCGCACTATTTCACTTCCTTTTGTTGGAACTGAGAATCAACTTGCCGATTGTTTTACGAAGGCTCTTACATCACAACGATTTAAATTTCTTCTTTCCAAACTCTCGTTATTTGATCCACCTTGAGTTTGACGGGGGTGTTAGAACATGTTGTATAGTTTTGTAGGTTTTCCTTTACATCTATTCTTTCTCTTTGGTCCCACATAGGAAGAATGCTAGGCTCCTTTACTCCTCTAAGCCTATATAAAAGCTGCTCATGTACATTGTTTAACATACCATTATAAGAGAACAAATACCATTCTCTTTTAATCTTTCTTTCTTATCACTAACAAGGCAAGAGTCGCGTGCGTGTGCCACATGCAGGTTGGGATGCTGTATAAACACAACTAGTAAATGGGAATCTGCTTGTATATATGCTTAGTCTCTTCTTCTCTCACGTTGACGAGTGAAGATGGAAAAATATAGAACCTAGCAGTCATATATACGCAACAGACACCAACTTCACGTGCATCGAAGGCGTATTTGTTTCAAAATTCATATGTTCACGTACAATTGTTGCAAAAATGCAAATTAATGCATCAAATCTGCCAAATCTCGATGTCCTCAAATGTGGAACATGAATGAGCATAGCCACGAAACGATACTCCTCCAATGCATTCATCTCGCAAGTATCAAATACATGTCGACTTATGCTTACATCCATTTCACAGCCGACTAGTAATTGGTTTGGAAACCATGCACAAAATTAATTACACATGCTAACATATGTTTGATCAGTCCCGAGCTGCAAGCAAACTTTCACATTATACATGGCTCAGACACATTCCTCAATCCCCATCTTCGTTTCAATGCATTCAATCGCAGTAAAGACCGTTATCACAAACACACACTTAGCTTTTGAGGAAATATAGAAGCTTACATTGAAGATGAGAGTAGTGATTCACAAAAGGGAAGTCTCACTAGTGAGGATTATGCTATCAGGATCTCTCCTTTTTCTTTTGCCAAAGCACAGCTAACAAAATTAATTCAGTTTTATAGTAAGGATTGCAACGAAGAAAGCTAGATGGCAATGAAACTAATGCACCGACAAGAAAGAAGATCCATACCAAAACGAACACATTGCAGGCCGGATTTGAAACCAACTAATCTGTCATTAATCATCATTCAATACTCAAAATTGAAGCAGAAAGATGCTAGGTCTCAGTCAACTCTATCCATTCCTTTTCATTGCCACCCATGCCTATGCATGTAAGTACAAGGAAAAAGAAGCACTGCACATTAATCATCGGCTAAATCTCATCCTTGCACCGTTTGGCTCCAATTTAACAGCAGTAGTTTAAATAATGAAATCCAGTTTTGCCTATTCCAGGCCACAAGAAGACAGGATGATACATGAGCTCCACTGTCCACATAATAAGGACTAGTCTCGTGTTTCCCTTGCCTGATCAAGATAAGATGAAAAGCAGAGATTTTTAACCAGAGAGAGATGGAGCGAGCAAAAACTTTACGTGCTTCCGGACCTTAATTATGCACGGTTTCTACAGTCCTAAAAATGACGGCTGTGAGTTCATAAATCCCACCAGATGTACCGTGCCAATGCGAAAAACAAATACCTAAATGGGAAATATCTAAATCTTGGAACGAACTCAAATCCTAACTAAAAAACAGGAGAATTCTTTCTAAAGCCGTTCAAGGTCAAGGGCATCGCATCCATGATTTCCGACAAGGCGACATATTCAGAGAGAGCCTCCAGCAAAGATGCTTTCATTAGTCTGGCGTTTATGACATACATAACCATCTATACATTTAAACTCCTTGCATACTTGTTCAGTTCATGTAAAGAATGCAATCAAATCCCCATTTTTACTAGCCATGTTTATGGATCGTATCCAAAACCCAGATCATGAACAGCACTATGACAAGCAGAGCAGATATACAACATCCCAACCTGCTTGAAAAAGATGCAATTAACCATCAAACCATGTCAAACCATCAGTCAGTATAACATCAAAGAGAAAGTTAAAATTCTCCACAAATTGCAGTCAATCCTTTTTACGGTCGGAGTCGGAGATTTCAGGAGTCAAATTCTCGCACAAGAAGAAGCAAATATAAAAACCCGAAAAACCTACCAAGAGCCTCCACCCAAATCCCAAAATTTACCTTCCTTCATCCACGAGCAAAAGCCTCATGGCCGAGCACCACCGGCATTCAGAGCCTCCCCGATCTGGAGCGACACGAAAGCGTCCAGGCACGCGTACTGGACCTGCAAGCTGTTCAGGAACTGGTGGTCCCACCGGCTCGTCGAGACCCGCTTCGGCTTCGGGATCTCCCTCCCTAGGACCTCCTTTGCCAACGTCTTCAGCCCGGCCCTTCTCAGCTCTTCCCGGCCCAGCTCCCTCGCGGCCAGGGGCCTCAGGTCCACCGCATTGGCCACGCCAAGGGCGTAGTCACAGAGCAGCTTCTCGACGTCTTCGTCGATGCCGACCCCGACGAAGACGTGACGGGGGTCGCGGAGGAAGTCGGCAAGGAGCTGGGGGATCTCGGGGGCGTGGAGGAGCTTGAAGATGAGACAGTCGAGGCCCACGGAGAGCTGGACGATGGCCACGGGGTTGACGACGTTGCGGCTGAAGTTGGGTCGCCACTCCACGTCGAAGCCGACGAGGAGGGGCTGGGAGCCGCGGGACGCGAGCCAGGAGGAGGCGATGGGAGGGGAGTGGGTGAGCAGGGTGCGGACGCTGAGGCCGTAGAAGGAGACGTCGTAGAGGTTGTGAGTGTCGTCGGGGAGGCCGTGGTCGACGATGCCGATCGTCATTATGGTCGGCGCGTTGCAGAGATTTCGGAGAGAGGGGTGAAGTGAAGAGGAGAAGCAGAAGAAAGAGGAGAAAAAGTCTTGACTTTTGACTGACGATGGATTGCTTGCTACCTACGTTATTCGATATAAAAGAGAAAGCTGGTGACTTGTCAGTGTGATAAAATACGACGAAAATTCTCTCTTCCGTGTCAAAGACACAGGTGACCCGTGCACATGAATCCAACGTATAATATAAATCATAAATTTTTTATTTGTTTAATATATTTTCGAACTTTATCTCAATGTGTAATATAATTTTTTAATATTTAATTTATTCAAAATGGGGCATGTACAATTCAATCATTGGATCATATCAAAATATTCAATATTATCTCTGATTTTGAATTAATAGAAATATAACATTGAATATTTTCATATAGTTTAGGAACTAAACTAAATATGTTCCGAAAGTTCAATGACCATATTGAACATTTTAAAAGTTGAGGGACAATATTGCATATTTAGATAAAGTTCAGAGACCACATTGAACGAATTTAAAATTCATGATTACATTATATATTTGGCCAAAATTCAGAAACCATTTCTAGCATTATCCCGAGAAACAAAAACATTCTATGTACATCAGCTACTGGCATGTTTACAATTCTCAAGTCGACACAGGACTAGAGATGCAACAACACCAATTGAAAAAGACTTTTGGAGTAGCTTTACTGTAAATGTTCCAGACAACCAGACCCTCGAATTTGATTGTGCATATCAGAGTGAACAAACACATTGATATAAATGGGGCAATGAGCTTATTCACAATACATACACACTTATCCATTTGCATGGTGATAGTACAAACGGAGGAGAAAAACAGGCGACAGTCGAAAAAGGAAAGGACGGCAACTTGCCGATCACTTTTCCTCTCACGTCGGCCCGATCGGTCATTATCTACAAATCTACACTAGCATGTCATTTGGGAAACATGAAAGGAAAATTAATCCACAGTAATTACAAGCGATCGTGCCCGGTTTTCTTTTTATCCTTTTGCTGATCTTTGATCGTCTATCGCTTTGGAGAATCCTCAGAAGTCGCAAGAAGTTCCCAACCTCTGCTTCAAGCCGTTGCATCTAGCGTTCTCGATGACCGCGGGCAAGAGCTTCTCGAAGATTTCGAGGAACAGAACCCACTCGTCTTCGCTCATGTCTCCGAAAGAGATCCCCTCGCCCTCATTGACGTGTTGTTGCACTGCAAAACTCATGCTCCGGTTGAAAACCCCCATCTTGTGACCATTGATGGCAGCGTCACGATTTTCACCCTCATCGTCTTCTATCGCATATGACTCGTAGTCGCAAATAAGGGGGTCGTTTTCCAACCCTTGTGGAGATAATAACGTGTCAGGCAGCCCGGACATTGACTTGACGGATAAAAACCTGGGAACTTTATGCGGCCTAGCCGTCTCAGGGAGGTCCGAGTCCTCCTCCATGTCATCTCCGTTTTCCATGTCGAACTGAGTAACTTCGAGGTCGTTTTCTTCGTTGGTTTCGTCATCAGGCACTTCATCGCCTGAAGTCATCAGCATGCTAGCCTTGGATTGAACGCACAGCTCCTCCAATAAACTGAGATTCTCCTGCCCACAAGAAAACTGGCGAGTCATCATCTCGCCTATATCTGCAAGACAGAAGCCAGCAGCCGCAGTGTGTTTTAGAAAGATGGTGCATAGGATGAGAACCCGGACAGAGGACTCCTTCAGAGAAGGAACCTCGGTCCTCAATAGCTCAGCATCCTTAAAGGGGTCTAAGTTGGATATGTATTCTCCTTCTAAATCGGAAAAAGGAACAGAGGCTTGAGGCCAGTGCAGCCATTCAAAATAAGGATCCTCAAGGAACTCAGGTAGGCAAAGGCCATGATCTATCGGCACAAGTTCCAGTGACCCAGCGGCAGTAATTTCATTTAGATGTTTCTTAACCAGAATGTTTCCTGCGTGCCTGTCAAGATTTAGCATTCTCAAGTCCAAGATCCCAATCCTATGAACCGATGCTACTGAGAAGCTAGAGGGACCCAATTCTCCAGCATCGAAATCATGATCCACAAAGCGTTGCAGCGATGCGATCTTGTAAGGTGCTGATGATGTTGGCGACGCATCATTTTCATTAAAAACGTGAGAGATCTTCACCAAAGCAGTTGGAGGAACACCGGAAAATCCGCCATGGTCGAGAATGTATGCAGCCAGTTCTCGAATGCCGCTTTCACCGACACATACGGATCGTTTCATGCCAGGTTGGCCTAGCATCAGACCCCTGAAGCCTTTAGGATTGTTGAAAGCTAGAGGTTCTTCGTCAACAGGCTTTGCCACGGCAATGTCATGCCCATCTCTGCCACGCATGTAGTATGCTCCGCCGAGTCCACTCGACACTGGCACAGGATTGACACCAGAAGCCATTGCTATGGCAACCTCTACAACTAGAGCGCGAGCTCTGAAGGCCCTGCAGCCACCAAGAATCTCAATTCGCGGATTCCTATCAAAGTCTTCTTCCATTTGGGTGGTCAAGGACAGGCAAGGGGTGGAGAAGCATCGGTGGAAATTAGCAATATCAAATGCTGGGTCCGAGGAACGGGCCAGATGGGTTTGGCCGAGATCAATTACGGTGAAGTCGAGATGAGTGAAGGACTGTAGTTTGCATCTCTGAGGTCGGCTCGGTGGCCTAAATCCACGATGCTGATCGACAGCTACCGCCATTTTGGAAAAATCTCAGTCAAGAGAACAAATGGCAGCAGGGCAGGGCAAGGGTAAGGGTAATCCTCAGAGGAATCCCAGAGAACAAGTCTTCCTTAATGGATTGGCCATCAGAAACTGCATCCCAGAATAGACAGCCTCGAGTCAGTCCAGACGACACATCCACTGAGATGAACATTTGACAACTAAAACAAGTCGCGTAAGTTATTACATGGAAAGAACATTCCCTAACACGCGAGCATAACTTTGGAGCAACATAATTGCGTCCTTCTCGTCAGTCGTCATTTCTGGATAAAAGTTTGTTTGCAGATCTCTATTGACAGTAAAAAATTCAACAAAAAAATGGTTCATTTCTCGCTCTCTTCAAACCCCTGGTTTTCATATCAACCTAAACATGATCAACGGTGACAATGTGCACATTCATCATAGTACTAGTCACGAGCATTCTCCGTGTGGCACGGTCAAACTGACGAGAGTGGAATATGTTGTGTGACTTGACAGGATGGAACTTCTGCATGCTTGAACCTAAGAAATCTTTCTGAATTGACTTCCTACTCGATCGAGTAATGCTCGTGAAACAGACGCAGAAGCTAATCCAGTGGGATCGCTACTTCGTTCCCAACAGAATAACGACTAAAATATCTCGGAATGCTTGCAAAACCATATCCTAGAAAAAATAAAATAAATGTTGCCTCACCAAATAATGCAGGTGCCTATGTACAGTTCCACACTAGCTTCATTAATGTTGACTTGCTGATGACAATCACATAGTAGGTTCAACTCATACCCACTGGATCCATCATAACCTGCATATTCCAATGGAGAAGGACAAGGAATTAAAAAAAAACACACACACACACACACAGAACAGACCAAAATCAAAAACAAAAGCTCATCAAGCATCGTGTAATGAAAAGAAAGAAAGTCTTGAGTTATCTCGTGAACAATAGGATCCGATATGGAATGCACCAACCTACAAAATCCCTCGCTCCTCCGCACAAAAATTGCCACAATTTTCTGAAAACATGAGATAAAATGTCATAAACACAGAGTAATTTCATCCAACACGCATTAAAGAGAAAAATGACAACAAAAATGTTTCGCGGGCTCTCCTCTGTTTCTCTCTTTTTTGCCGGATTATGTTTCCCGGGCAGTGGAACAGGTACAACCAGAGGTAAGCATGCTTGAAATTATGCAAACTGATTTCAGGCGTCACATTTCTATTCCTTCTTCTCCTTCTTCGTTTTGCTTACAGATGCATCACATTTCAACAATGCGGGAACAAAATGCAGAGGAAACGGAAATGATCTACCGTGAAGAGCCAACATAAGACATTAAAAGACTAAAAAAAAAAAAAAATGGCCCGTATGGAATTACGAATGGCACAAGCCAACAAAGATGAACAAGACAGCCAAAATTTCTCCTAGACAAACGACAAGCAATGACAAGAACCGAACACGGAATCACAAAAGAAGGGCCAAACAGAGAGAGACAGAGAGGGAGGGAGAAACAGACCCTGAACACTGGTTAAGGCATTCAGGGGAGACGAAGAGCAACGGGAGGGCGAGAGGATCAATCCGTCGCTACTTTATCAAAGAAAACCGAGGAACCCCTTTTTTCTATTTTTACAAATTTTCCAAGAGGATTCCACAGATACCCACAAGCCCTTTTGTTAAATATCAGCCAATCGAACGACAAAGATCGATCCTTTCTTCGTACGCGACAAAACCCAACTCCATTCCCCTCCCCCTGATTTCGCTGCGCCTTCCGAGGTAACTGCTCCCTATTTCTGGACGACACTCCCCCCTCCTAAATTCCCAATCCGACAAAGGAAAAAACGATTTTTATTAAGGGAAAAACAAGAGGCGGATGCCTCGAACAATGTCGTTTCGGGGACGTCGTTCTTGGCGCGGGATCGTTTCGATTTTGGGGCCGAATTTAGTTGGTCCGATTCTTTTTTTGGGGGTGGGGGGGGGGGGGGGGTAGCTTTAGCAATCACCATGGGAATTCAAAGGACCTCGTATTAATGGCAAATTGAGAATTTTTAGGCCGAGGCGAAACCGAACTCCCCTATCCAAAAGTTCTCGATCTATGGATCCCTTGTGTTCGTCGATTGACTGTATTGATCATTGCTTCGGTTGTCATGTCATCCTTGGACGAGGATTTTCGTGGTTAGATCAACGGGTGCATCCGTCCGTGGGTCGTGATTTCCTGTTTTCTTCCTCTTATCTCGGAGGTAATTTTTGTCATTTTTCGTGAAGGGTGGGAACATAAATTAGGCAAGGGCAAATTTTATCTGATTGGCCGAACAAAATCTTTTTCAAACCTTCCACCGAACCAAGTAACTGACCCGCAATCGACCAAAAAAAGAAAAAAAAGTAGTTGACCGCCAACCCAAAATGACTGATTGATAAAGCAATTGATTCTTTCTTTGGTAAGGGGAAAGAGATGATTGAGAAATATGAACATATAGAGAGAGAGAGAGAGAGAGAGAGAGAGGGACCTCCAATCAAGCGTATGAACTTCTATTTGTAAGTCTCCCATGTTCGTCTTGAATAAATCAAAGAGATAACGGCATATATAATTTCTAAATTTCGACCCAATGTATAATACAACCTATTAATCTTAAATTTGTTCAATGTAGTCCCTGAACTTTAACTTAATATACAATGTCGCTCCTAAACTTTTAATTTATTTAATATGGCCCCTGAATTTTTTGTACATGTTCAATTTAGTCCATAAACTACATAAAAATGTTCAATATTGTCATTCTATTAAGTTCATGAACTTTAACCTAATATACAATGTCGCTCCTAAGCTTTTAATTTATTTAATATGGCCCCTGAATTTTTTGTACATGTTCAATTTAGTCCATAAACTACATAAAAATGTTCAATATTGTCATTCTATTAAGTCAAGTTAAGGGATAACATTGAACATTTTTATACAGTCCATAGACTAAATTAAACATGTTCCAAAAATTTATGGACCACATTGAACAAATTAAAAATCCATAAACAATATTGCACATTGGGCTAAAGTTCAAGAATCACATTAAAAAAAATTTAAAGTTCAGGAGCCATATTATATATTATGTCAAAATTCAAAGACCATTCATATGACCCAACACCATTTAAGACGCTAATAATGTGATATCATGTATGGAAGAAGGAGATGGAAAAGAGATTGTTAGCTCTGGTTCATGCTCCTTTCTTGAACATTCATGAGCGCGCGATCAAATGAGCATTTTGGACTACGCAAGTTCACACATGAATGCATTGGCTCATAAAAGTCACGATTCCTTCTGGGTAAGTTTTGAAATCCCATTTTCGGCTCGTTATATAGCAACGATTCTGTACTAGAATGGTCCTTTTTGGCGAACAAAGACTACGAAAATCTCACCCCGAAGCGTGCGGGCGAGGGCTCGTGTATCTGCATCAGAAGACAGATAATAGTCACAGCAAGTCTCCCCCTTTTGATGTCAATATCACATGACCTGCATGGATCTTGCGTGATTAAACATCAACGACCTTGAACCATGTAGATGTCAATGCAAGCTTCGACCCCATACCATTCTTGAAATCTTGAGCAATAAAACACAGCATACGAGCTCGGTCATTCAAACAGAGACTGCTTAATCAGTATTGATGTAACTAAAGAACAGTGTAATTACCGAAGAATACTCGATAATGACAGAAATAAGGCAAAGTACGTATGCTCTACTCTATCTCGATTTTCATGATATTCACAAAATTCTTTCATACCGGACCTACTGGTGACGTCAATAGACCTTTTGCCAGCCTGCCAGGTCCCATGCCGCAAGACATAACTTCTGCCACATGACATAGCCGCAAGAAAAGAGAAGAACGTCCTTCTCTTGAAAAAAGTCAAAATTAGGCCGCCACAATCTGCTGCCTACAAGATGCAATTGATAGTAGTTTCTGTGCAGTAAAGTACGAGAGCAACATGAGAATGAATCAGTTCGACTATACGCTTCACTATCTCGAGTGATAAGTGGATATATACTGATGTATCTAAGTCGCATCGTATTATTTGATATAGTATTATCCCTCAGTTGTGTGACAGGAAAGGTTATTCTATGCTTATTGGGAAAAAAATATTCAAACTTCAATAAAGTAGACCCTCCAGGGACATCCTCCCGATTTTCCAATAAAACGTCTAGCTTACAAGCGGCTGGATTACAAAACCACCAGGCTCTCCCTCTGTGGAGCTCCATTTAACTGCGTGGTTTAATGCCTCTCCACTGACTAGCTTCTTTTCTGTAGTAGTATTTCCCTCTCGACTGCCCCTCGTATTAGCTTCAACAGGAAGAGGATGTGATCTTCCGCTCCCACGTACAAGATTCTTAATCGTGGATATGAGATCTCGGTCCTTCATCAAGGCCTCCAACGTCACATGTACGCCTGAGTTCAAGATGCACACGTCTCAAAGCTGGGTGCAGTCTTTTTTATCTTCTCGACTTAATTTAAGGGTCATATAATTTAAGCAAACTATAAAGAACTGCAGAATCATCTCTCATATTTCAGCCTCAAAACAATGGGAGGATTAGGCTTACGGTATCTCCAGTAGTGCTTTGGATTGGTCGGATCATTGATTGTTTCCTCAGTTGCCGGTCGAGTCATGTATTCTTCTTTCAACACCAGCAAGTCCTGACATCAACACAAACATGACCTAAGCACAACCGAAGTCACAGGATATCCAAACAAAATAAACAGTAAATTAAGAAATTAAGCAACGGAACTATCAAGGATATGAGAATGGATCTACCACACCTAACAACAAGTTCGATGCAAATGAAATTTCAGCTGAACTGTGTCAGGCAAAATACCTGAAGAGGGAAGATTGCCCACATAGATGGAGCTTCGACATGTTGGCGTAAAACAAAATGTGCAACATCAGGAACGCATTTACTTGGGGGCAACTTGTCAGAACCCACCACATTCTTGAAGAAACGACGCCTTCTTTCTTCATCTTCTTCCCACCAAGCACGTAAGGTAGAACAGTCGTGGCAAGAAGGAGCACACACCTAAGTAACAGGAGACGATTCAACATCAACTTATTTAGTTCTAATAGAACATGTCGGGTTTTAGAAAATTTCTTTTCTTTGATACAGGCACGCATACATAAGGAAAGGGAAGAAGTTCTCTTATGAACACACAGAACGCACACTTGATGAGCAATGAAAAGCCAGAACTGCAAATTTTAACTTTCTCTGATTGCTACGGATACAGAAACATATAGATATCTGAAATAAGCTCAAAGCACAACTCGTTTCACAAGTAAGATTGGTGAAGTATTCGAACAAGCAACGTGGTTTCCTATAGGCTCATACCGTCATGTAGCTGTACTGAGAAGGAATACCAAACTCAAGATCTGGTTCACTAGGCATTCGCTGGATGCGCAAACCTACTAGTCCAAGTTCTTGCATAACCTGTGAGATAATGTCAAAGTTACAAGAGCCACTTATTAGAAAGTGGTCGTATGAAAGTGGGAGACATACCGGATGTACACACGACGGGATAAGGCCTAAATCTTCTCCATAAGCCAGCATATCTGAAGAGTTCAGGAGGACAGGCAATGTCTTCAAAGCATTTTGTCTCCATAGGTTATCTTGACGGTGAAAATAGTAATCATTGTACAGTCGCTTCAAAACATTCTTGCTGCATAAAAAGAATCATGTTAAATGTCACATAGCGGAGGAGTCATCCATCTTCTAGTAAAGCCCCCTCGCTCCCATCAAGAAACCCAAACACAGCACAAGGTCAAATAATTTGACTGAAGAGATCAAAGAACACCATGTTTTTTCAGTAGGACATAATAACCAGCAATTAAACCATTAATGTAGACTGATCCAACATTAGTTAAGCTCAGGTTTGTCATACTCAACAAGAACCAAAAGATTGATACCTGTGATCATCTAAGTCCTTAAAACTTGTTGTATCTTCCAGATTGAAACGCGGATAAAATTTCTTCGCATCCTCAGGATCCCTGATAAGAACTATATTCTGCAAGATGGAACAGTGGTAGGATTGCAAATGCAAAAAGAATCTTACAAGTAAAGGCGCAAAGCAAAAAAAAACGAGTGCTCCAAATCATTGGAGAAACAGAAGATTGACTCTTATTACCTTCAGAAGATCAAAGAGATCCCGTTGTATCTTATTTTCATCTTCCAACAGGGACCTCTGCGCAAATGACTTGAGCTTTGCAGCAATTTTCTTCTCTGTGTTGCAGTCTTCCTTGAACTACAAAATCAAGCAATCTCATGTGAATCAGTGGATCAGTGGACATAAAGAACTATCTGAAGTTGAGCTAGGACAAGATGCTATCATAACACATCTACAAGGCAATAAAATTCCAAAATCAAATAAAGCAACAAGGCTAAACGCCGGGGGCAAATAAGTTCTACTTCATTTGAACTCGCCATTACAAGACACATGTAAAACCACTAAGAGAAATTTAAATTATTTGTAATTTAATTTAAAATTTTAGATTAAAAAATTATATTTGAATCAAAACGATATCATTTTAGCCATATCCTTTTTGTTTTAGCCACATCAGTACCACGTCAGAGAGAAAAAATAATAGAAAAAACCATGTCAAAATTTTCCGTTAGCCAAGTTGGATGGAATTCACGGGACTTGATTGCACCAATTTGACAAGTGTTAGGACTTGATTGCAATTTTTGTAAATTTTAGGACTCAATTGCACTTTCGTGACAAGTTTTTAAGACTTCCAGTGCACTTATCTCTATTTAAAATAAGAATTTCGTGGCACCTGTTTCTCCACAAAAGTAACCACGACTAAACATCTTGACATATAACAGTCACAAGAAACTCCATCAACGTTAGTTTAAGGTCAAACCAATATAACTTTGAACTGGATTTATCGGACATGGCCAACTATACTTGAGACAACCAAGTCCCTCAAAGAGACATGTCAAACTAAATTTACATGTGAAAAATCAGAATAGGGAGAACAACATAAAGCTTCATGGTGCTTTAACTACAGATTGTTACCTCATAAAGGTGCTTCTCATATTCAATGAAGAAATTAGAAGCAATTAAAGGCCAAGATTCTCCAAATTTTTCCTGCAAGAGGAGAAGATTGTTCCCATGAAGTATAAAACCTTGGACCAAAAAGCCTCAAGTGGTACAAATTGACAAATAGAATCATTTGAATGTACAAACACTAATCACAACACATCAAAGAAGCAAAAGTAAGGAACCTGTAATAATTCCTGCCGAACGTAAGGATTGCTCAAACGATTAAAGTCCCATATTCCATCTCGTTCAAGTTCTTCCTACAATTAGACATCATTTTTACTAAAAAGGCTTTAAAAGGAGGAAGATGAATCTTTTATAACAAGAAATAATCTCTGTGAACTTCGTTTTCAGTATGAATCAAGAGGATTAGGAGTACCTGACTTAGAGGAATTGACGGTCTAAATTTACCAACAAGGCCTGTCATGGCATGCTCTGGAAGTTCCCAGATTCTAAAGAAACCAAGTATGTGATCAATTCGGAAAGCTGTGAAGTACTTCGCCATCTGGTGAGAAAAATTCATATTCATGCTTATTAAGTCCATAATGACCATTGTGCAAAGCAAGAGCCCAAAAGTCATCGACACACGATACTGTGCTATTATATTCCAACAACAACCTGTGTTAAACGGGCACGCCACCAAGCATAATTGTCCTTCGACATTTCCTCCCAATTATAAGTAGGAAACCCCCAGTTCTGCCCGTTCTTATCAAAATAATCAGGAGGTGCCCCAGTTGCTGTGTTCATCCGAAACAAATTTGGATAGACCCAGGTATCAACACTATTTCTATCAACACCAATAGGCAGATCTCCTTTTAACACCACTCCTTTCTCTCTAGCATACTCGGCTGCTTCTGACAACTGCCAATTCATAATGTTTCAACCAATAAAAATGTCAGGATGGCTAGTTAACAGTTTCCAGAACGTATCAAAATTAGAAAATGTAACACACTTACTTGCAAGTGTAAATGGAATTGGATGTAGTAGTGCAAGCATATAATGTCATAGTGCAAGCTCTCTTTTGAGACAAGTTTATCAAGCTGTGAGGAAAGAAGGTCTTATCAGATCTTCAATTAGAGTGTGTATAATCTAGTAAGTTCATCAATAAAAACTGAATAAACAGACACACTAAATTGACTATAAAAAATGAAGCAAGAATCACCTTTTCCTTTGAAAATTGGGAAAAGCGACCCCATTGGCTGTGATCGGAAGTTTCAAAGAAGTCACGTAGGAAACAAAAGGCTGCATAAGGTTTCAACCATTCCTACAAACAATTGAAGCAGGAGTCAGAGTGAAAACTGCGGCTTCAAAGGACACAGCTCGTGAGTTGCTACCATGCATCCTCATCTCACAAGACCATCATAAATTTATAAGAACGGGACAAAAAGAATTTTTGTATGACCTCATTCTCTGAAAAGAACTTTTGGAAGGTGCTTGAATTAAGGACTGGATTCTTCTCAAGAGAGAAAATTTTCTTGGCAATTGAAAGCTTTGCGGCCATTGTCGCTTCATAATCAACATCCTAGACATCCAAACCCAATTAAGGCAATTAGCGTGTCAGGATACACAGAAAAATTAGCCTCTGCAATAACATAATTAGGTACTTAGTAATTAGCAACACTGAAGATGTCAATTATGCTTAAAATGTCCCATACAGAAAATTACTGATGCAAGCCTTTCTTCAACTAGAAACACAAAGAGCAGCTTCGCACTTACTTGCCAACTTGTCTTCATAGAACATATCACCAATCTCAAAAATAGAAGCAAACATAGATGAACAGATGATGCAATTAGACTTAATGCGGAACAGACAATTGCTCCACTCTATCAAGAAGAAAGTCTTCAAAACCAATGACTAACCCGATAGAGCAGGATGGTTCCAGCATTGTTTATCAAAACAAGAGGGCATTATGATAGAACTACGTGCATGAGGAACCATTTTAAGGAAATTTGGCCAGCATTGGAGTAGAAATATGAGTATCCCGCCTTGAGAAATAATTTTTTTGCTAGCTCGAGAAATAATTACAGTTGGTAACCCAAACCTTTAAGTCACAGTTCAACATCTAATGCTAAAAATGCATAGATAAAGGCATTTTATTTGATTAAGGGACAGGATTACTACAATAATGGAACAAGTGAAATCATAAGCATAAAAAAGAACCAGAAAAAGAAAGCAAGAAGAGAAGGGAGAATTTGGACATCAGCCTCTGTGTAATCATTTATTGTCATGCACGAATCTCTCATGCTTTTCAGAAATTTTCTCTCCCAATGAAGCCACGTGGCCCAATTCTAGCATGTTTGCAGTTAGAATTACTGAGCATACATAGAAAAAAAAATGCTTAGATAGCAAAGAAAATAATAAACCATGTTACCTTCTTATCCAGCTCCTCCTTGGCCTTCAGAATATCATCCTGGAAAACAAAAAAAATACATATCAATTTTGTAACTAAAGACGTGCTTGAGAGATCAAAGCTTGACAATAAAGAAGCTGCTCTCATACTATCAATCGCAAGCAAAGGTTAAAAGTTACATATGCCACCTTGATATCATTTGGTATGTTCTTCGACAGAGCATCCAGTCTCAGGTAAAGTGGATGTAATGCAAATACTGAAAGTGAGCTGCATGACCACAAGGAGGAAAATAACCAATTAGGTAACCAGATGAAAACCCAAAAACTACTATAAGAAACTTCAACCTTCTTTATAGTAAACGACTGATAGCTAGCGATGTATGAATTGATTTCGCTAATGAATCATGCATCAGAAGCATCAAGCTCTTTTTTGCCTGGTCCTCTTAATTATAAAAGCTGTAGCTTTTTAAACAGTTTCGTCAACAAGATATCGCCTAGTGGTCAGTTTCTGTGCTTCTTCACCCACTTCCAGGTGCTTCTCTATGATAGTGTCCTACTCCAGACAGAGGCATACGTTAATTACATTTCTGTGCCAGAATGTATTTATCACTGTGAATTTTGCATACTTTTGCACCTCTCTATCCAGAATCTCAACTCTTGTCCAGATTTCTTGTTCCAAAACAAGACGGATAAAGATTAAATATGACGCCATGGTCGTGAGTCGATCAAAAAAAATAAACCACATGTGGTAACTGGTACGTGAAGATCATAAGGTGCAAAAACAATATTTGTTATTTGATTTCTCTTTTTTGCAACTATAAACTAGAAGAAAGTAAGATTCAGGTATGAATGGATGAAAGAAGACATACTTATTCCCGTGATAATCGCAAGTATACGAACTTCTGAGGAGACAGCTTACCTGTAAGGATACGAGTCCCACCACATCCCATGTACAGATGTATCATTAATTGGTAAAAGTTGAACCAAGTGAAATCCAGATTCAACAGCCCAGTCAACAAGCAACTTCAAGTCAAGAAACTCTCCAACTCCAACATCCTCTTCGGATCTCATGGAAAACATGGGAATAGCAACGCCAGCACCGCGCCATGGCATTGCCTAAGAAACAGATTGATGAAGAGAATGTCACAGAATGTCACATATCATACCACTTAGTAGCTAATTAATAGTGAACTTGCTTACTCGAAACATGCCATCAGAGAGGAACATATATCTCGGTTGACTTTTGGAGGATTCGAGGGAAAGTTCCCGTTGAGAGCCGATTTCGAGAGAAATGTTCCCTGCCTTGCCATATGTACAATACTTGTACGTATAAAAGATGGTTAAGGAGGGAGAGATAGGCTTGCAATAGCCAAACTACCAGCCAAGAAGATACTACTTGAAAGCAGTCAAACTGTTGAAGCCAAAAGAAACTCAAAAGGATATTTTAATGGAAAGTCGCCTCTTTGGACTACACAATCAGCATGCCAAACTGAATCACCAGCATGGCTAAGTTTAACTCCATTCTGAATCTTCCACTGCCCCAACTTCGAACAGCTCCCTATCACATACACCTGAAAGCCCAACAGGATAAGATATGGAACATAGGAATTGTTTAAAACAAACAAGTCCAAAGTTCAGTTGGAAAGGGGAGCTTACTGCAGTGTCCTCTTCTATACCGGGGCAGCATATTCGAAAATGAATGAGGACAGAATCTGCATTTAACCCAAGCTCAGAAAAGAACCAGTCAGTTACACGAAAAGTTTCAAAAGATATTACATGCAAAGGTTTGGTCAAAAGTCTAAATGAACCCATTACCAATTCCATCCAAATAATTCTGAAGAACTACAAGGGGTCTTTCTACGCCCACACTCGAACTTCTACGAAAGATGACATCTTTGAACGCACTGCTGAATGGGAGAGTATCTGAACCAGTCTGCTGGGAAAAAGGTGTCAGCTACTACTCATCAAGATCTACTTCAAAGAAGAAGTTGAGCACCAGTTCTTGTCAAAAAACTTTCACAACATCAAACAACCATGCAAGCTAAACGAGAACACAATCGTTGGGGCTAAATTACTCGATGTAAATGTATCCAGTATTCCAGTTTAAGACACCTCAGAAACACCTCACAATCTCAACTGCTCTAAGATGGATGATCCAAGCAGCACTCGACCAATCATTATGCTTTTCAGATTTACAACAGCTAAACAAAGATAACAAAACAAACATGGAGATGGAAGATGAGAAGTACAAAGCAGCAATCCAACTTCAGAATTAAGTGAAGAATCATCAAGTCACGGGACCCCAAAACGATGCAGGTTGTGAAAGCAAAACACAATCTGAAAATATAAAAGGGAACAGCACTGCCACGATTTTCAACTTCTGCATTACTCTTCTATCTTATCTTATTGTACAGATCTTCCCATTACAATCGCTCTTCACCCCCGATTCCCAGCTTGTTAACTTTGTATAATACTCCGTTGTAAATAAATGATCTTATCATAGATCCAGTATGATCTGGAAAGAGAACAAAGGTAAGTTCCAAGAATCTAGAAGTGAATCTACCACTCGACAATAGTAGAGCAGCTTATTCGCAAGAATTGCAACTCCACAAATACTCATCAAGAGTGACTTCATCACCCCTTTCCAGTTACCAACCAAATAAAAGCAAAGAATCATAAACTTTTGTTTTGTTTCCACAACACATTAAGAGACTAAAAATTTAGCAAAAGAAGAATCGGAAAAAGGATAACCTGCCAAAGATCATAAAGCTCCACCACATCACCATCCTTCACTACCTCGGGCAACACCAACCTGCGCTTCTTCCCCATCTCCCATCTCAACACGTTCCTGCCATCGTCCACCACATAATAACTGTACTCGCTCGTGTGACCACTCCGCACAGCGACACTCCCACGCCATATGAGCTCGTCGCCGTGGTGAGACGGAGTCAACAGCACGCCCTTCTTCACATCCCACGATCCGAGCACCGGCTCAGAGCCGCACACGAGCAGGCTCTGGCCCCAGTGAGTGTAGTACGGTATCCTGAAGCTGACGGTCACGGATTCCGCGAACTTGGAGCCGGAGAACATTCCCCAATTCGCCATTCTTGAGGGAAACCGCTCTGACCCAGAAGGGATTTCTCGATATCTAGCAAGACCCAAGATAGAAATCTCAGGACTGGAGTAGAATTCAATCGAGCGAACGTAATCCGAGGCAGCCGAAGTTGTCAAGCTCTCACCTTTTCGTTACTTCTACAGGACGTTGTCAGAGTTCTTTATGTTTTGCATATAAATGCTGGGACTTTTGCGAGGAAAAGAGATTGGCTTCTGGAGTGATATTTCACAAGACAAACAAAAAGAGACACAAGGATCACCACTTTCGCGCACGGATTTTTTCGGGAGGAAAAGCGGTGGCTTTGCTCCTGCGAGAACGTGAAGACACTGAAAGGAAAAAGGGTGAGAGCAAGCGAGGAGTTTGTCCGATCGAGACGATATTTTTGTCTGCCTCTCCGCAAGAGGGAAGCGTCTCTTTCGTTCGCAAGGAAGGGTCGCGCTATCGAGAATCTGAGAGCTCCTCGGAATGGTTTGGTCCAGAAAGTTTGCTCTTTTATGCTCCGTGCGATCGAGTCCTCTAACTTTCGAGTCATTCGATCGAGTCTTGGGATTCATATGATTGTTCCCATAAAATCTTTTTGTTATTGATGCACATGATTATGATGACGTGGTGGTCCACGTGATGGGTCGAACGTTGAAAGACAGATAAATATATTTAGAAAGCTTTTAAAAACCGAAACGAACATTTTATGATAAGTCGAAAGGAACCGAAAGAAAAAGAAATTTGATGATAGACGGGTTGAGGAAGGGAAGGCGAGGCGGGCGGTGGCAGCCACTGCCGGAAACAGCCCGATGCCACCATCTTCGAGTCAGCATCAACGGGCATCGAGACCAACGAGGGTCCTCATCGATGAGGGCTCGCCGGTGCCGAGTGGGGCTAATGGTACCAAATGGTCGCCGCCACCACCGCCTTCTTCCCTTTCTCAAACCTTGTCTCTCTCTAAATCTTTTTTGTCTTCCGAATTACTCCAAAAATCTTAATCTTGATTTTTAAACCTTTTAATATATCCAATTTCTCTTAGTTTCGATACATAAACTTGCCAAACCAGCTGCCATTGTCGTCGTAATCAAGTGTCTTGACCAAAAAAAATCGTAATCGAGTGCATTAATAACAAAAGGATTTGATTGCATTAATCATATTAGTTACGGGACTTGATTGAAAACAATAAAAGTTTACGCGTTCAATTGCACGATGGACATAAGTTATAGCTATCCTTTTATTCTTCAATAATTTAGTGGCCATGGTAAGGCCGTCTCTCTCTCCCTCTGTATGCTTCAATAATTTAGCTTTGAACAATTTTTAAATAAAAAATTCCACATCGGCTTTTTCAACGACACTTTTAAAGAAGTGCAACAAAGAGATTTGATTGCATAAATAAAGATAGTTTGAAGACCCGATTATACCAAAGAAACAATAAGGGACAGAATTGCACAAAACCCCAAACTCAATGTGCTGTTTAACTTGAGAGATGAGTTTGAATCACTTCATGACTTATTACGAGTACGAATTTGTACTGTATGATTCATAAATACCTAAATTTTACGTTCTACTATGGTTAGTTATCTTCAAAATAGTTTCGATTACCCAATTATTAACAAAGGGACTTGGATGAGAACTAAAGAATAGTACTACTCTTTCGGCCCAAAACAAGGACTATACTACTCAAATCTAATTGTGTGCTCATGTTTAAGAATAAATAATTGAAAATCTCAATCCAAACTTGGAAATTAATTGATTAATATCAGTTGGGCAAGTACCATTTACACCACCTATATTAATTCGAAAAAAATTCTCAAATTAACTTTTTCGGGGAAAACAGATTCCCCACGTCTTTTTAGTCTATTACTTTCATTTTCGCCAACAATGTTGTAATTGTATGAATAATTCAAAACCAAGTAGGATGAAATACTCTAATCTATCCCTTTCTTAATTTCTCTCAAAACACGAGTTTGTCCTGCTTTCTCTCTATTCTTCGAGTGATTAATCAGCCAAAATACTACTTAATCTTGAACTAATCTAGATTGGATTAATGTGCTCACATGTTCCTAATCCAAACTTAGTAATGAAAAAGATATCACGTGCATAATTTGGATTCCTAAATGACTGCAAGTTTTTCGAGGACGTGGGTTCAGATCTCTTTCCTCTATATTAATGGTGCGTTCGTTTCGCCAACAATAAATGATTTTGACAATATTTTCTAAAAAATAATCGTCCGTATCATTTACAAAATTAAACGAATGAAAAAAAAATAATTCGTTACTGAAAATATTTAGATGTAAATTATTAACGATAATGAAAAATTATACATTTTCTGTAAAATAAACGGGATCTAAGATGGAATCTTGCCTTGAAAGCCCAAGCCCACAAACATGCTTATCAAAATCGTTCACATTTGGATCGCCCATGGGCGAGTGTATTTTGACGATCACGTGGCGGTCACATCACGTGGCATGGCAAGCCAATGAAAAGCGAGACGCATAAATAATGTGAGCCCAAGTGGAACGAGATTCATAACACGCGAGGGATAGTGATCGATATAATTTTTTTATATTTCATCGCTGCCGTACGGCGTAATCATCACATAAAATACTTTTTACATGCGTATTTGACTTTCAAACACACTTCTTGTAGATGAGTGATTTTGACGAGAAAATTATCTGAAAAGTGGTAAATTTATTGTATATTGATCAATTCAGTCATAAATTTTTTAATTTTGCTAATCTAGTCCTAAACTTTTTAACGGTTTGCCAATATAGTCATTTCAGCCAGTTTTGGCCGAAAATCATTATTGCCAATTTAGTCTTAAACCTTTTGACAATTTACCAATATAGTTCTTCCAAGGGGTGAGCAAGATGGACCGCCTAAATCGGGACCGGACCGGACCGACCGGTTTGGTTTGGTTCTTAGGAATATCGGCCTGGTTCCTAGTTCCTAAAAGTGGAACCAGTTTCTGGGCGGTCCGGTTCCCGGTTCTAGGGTGGAAACAGTACTGGACCGACCAGATCGGACCAATAAATATATATTTTTCTAATTTTTTTTATATCTATATATTTATTTACTTTTTAAAATTTTTGAAAAAAATAGAAGTCCTAATCTAATTTCCCCAATTCCCACTTGCTTTTACCAATAAGTGATTGGTCCTATTGGAACCGGTCCGATCCATGATCTCAAGACTAGCCGGTCTAGTCTCCGGTCCTAGAAACTAGGAACCGGTCGTCCCGGTCCGGTTCTCGATTCTTGGGTTGAGCCGAACCGGATCGAGAACCGTTCACCCCTAGTTCTGCTAGCCAATTTCGATCGAAATTGAAAAGTTCAAGAGTAAATTGGCCGACATAGAATAAATTTATGACTTTTTTGATGATAATCCTGACATTGCACTTAGTTAACGAGGAATAACTGCTATTCTATTCTCAAAAACGAAAACAAGGATGGAGATAAGTATTACTTGGTCAGCTTATCCATGTGAAATCATATCATGTGATTTCGACACTCACAAAGTCATAAGCTTATCCCAAAAAACTTAAAACGAGAATCATTAGATCATTAAACATAATCAACCACTGGCGAGAGAAAAAAATGAACTAAATCAATTGATTTCATATAAGTGCGACATTTGTACGAAATAATTATAATTATTCACGTGGTTACCATCATCTCTAACTTACATAAACACACTTTACGTTAATTTTAGCAAATAAAAATGTTTATTTTATGGAATTTTTTGTACCTCATATAATGTCGCAAATGCTTCAGATATCTTGATTATCAAATAGACTATACTTTAAGATGTTAAAAATCTTATTTTAAGACCACGATTCCTCCTTATTCTCTGCCAACAATTTCTTCCTAACTTAGCAAGCACATGCACATAAATCCAAAAGGAATGCTGTGGTTGCTCCCAAAAAAAGAAAACCAAAAGAAAAATGAAAAATAATAGGTTTTTTTTCTGTGAAAATAATATATTTTGCTGAATCTACAATCGTGCGAGAACGTGATCTCCTATATTCTTCTTTACTCATCACTCGCCTCTCCTCTCTCGCCCTTATTTGTTCAAACATGATTTTAGGAAAACTGAAGGGTTGTTGATTACTTTTCCATAAATATGTTTGGGATATGTTCACTAGAAGTCCTAAAACTTATCACCAAAGTATAATTAAGTCCTAATACTTGCAAAAGGTGTAAACGAGTCATAAAACTTGTCAAATTGGTTCAATCGAATCCTAAAGTTAACACTGTTCAATTTGGCTAATGAAAAATGATGACGTAACTTTTTTTATTTATTTTTTTATCCAATGTGGCGATGATGTGGCTTTTTTCATTTTTTTAATATTAATTTTATTTAAAATAAGTCATGTCAGCGCTACATCAGCATTTCCGTTAGTAAGTTTGACGGTGTTAACTTTAGGACTCATTTGAATCAATTTGACAAGTTTTAGAACTTAATTGCACTTTTTGTAAGTTTTAGAACTCAATTGCACTTTGGTGATAAGTTTTAGGACTTCTAGTCTGTAATAATAGGTGTTTTTCTTTTTTTGTGAAAATATTCTTTGAACGACTACGAATAAAATCGGAATTTTCCGAATGTAAGTAACAAAAATAATCTAATTTTTCTTTTCATAATCGGAAATACGATTCTCTTTATCTTTGATTTAGTTAGTCGGGTGAAAACTATGGCATCAAAACACAGTGCAAGTCTTCACTATTTAATTAGAAACGTACAATTTCTTCTTCGTCTCGTGTTATTGCCATCAACAACGATCCTCTCTCGTGTCATGTGAAATTTTTATGGAATAATTACCAAAAAAGTCATAAGCTTATTGCACTTGTGTTAGTTCTAAATTTTTCGATTTGGCCAATTTAATTTTTCGTCTGGCAATTTAGCCAATTTAGACATAAACCATTTGCCAATTTAGTCAATTTGGCCAATTTTTGCTATTATTTAAAATTTGAATTTTTTTATAATTTTTTTGTTTTCTTTTATTTCCTTCTTCCTCTGCTAGTCGTCGGCCATCACGAGGATCGGCGAGGCTTGCCCTCGTAGGGGCGAGGTCGCAAAAGGCCAGCAAGGCCAACCCTCGCCCGCTCGCCAGAGGCCGATGAGGAAAATACGAAACAAAAAAAAAAAAAAACATTAAAAAAAATGCCGCGTGGAAGAGAGAAATCAATTTAAAAATGCCATGTTAACATTTTCCGCTAGACAAATTGGAGTTATTAACTGAAAGACTTGATTGCACTAATTTGATAAGTTTTAAGATTCGATTGCACTTTTTTAAAGTTTTAGAATTCAATTACATTTTTGCGACAAGTTTTATTACCGCTAGTGCACGCATCCCTAAAAAAAAAGCCAGCATATTTTCCTAGTGCTTTCAAAAAGGCATATACTAATTCAGGGTCCGCAGGTGCCACCGACGGATTGCTAAAATTCAAAATTTGCATTTCTATTTCAACGAAAATATCCCGCCAAGCCATTGTCCAGATGCAAGAGTTATCCACCCACCAACCCATCAATCACAAGCCCCACGGACACCCATCATTATTAATTAACTAACTAATTAAAAATTAATTAGGGGCAAAACACATGGTGTGTTGTTTACTGAACTCAACAGCTGAAACCCCGGCGGCGGCCTCGATCGGCATGGCCGGGATTAGCTTGATCGTGGGAACGGTCCGATGCCGAATGCCGGAACCCCCATCGACTGTGAAGAGCCACCCCACTTGCTCACGGGTTCAGTTCAACCCAGAAAAACTTGTGTCATAAGCAATTCTCTCGCCTATCTGATAAAACCACAACACACGGATATGATGTCGAACCGCCACCGAATACACAGCTGAAATGGGCGCACGCCCGGGATCGAAAAATCGTACTCTACGTACTCGAAAAGTAGATCGTAAAAACAAAAAAACGGAAAGTTTTATGCAGTTCCTTTGTTCGTCTTTCCTTTTTTTTTCTTTTTCCTTCCCCTTACCGTTACATTTGCCGCAGAAGAGAATACACAGCGGCGGAGATGCAATGTGAACCAACGGCCTGCCACCTCTGTGACTTTGACCTGATGGTGCATCTGCCAGCCGGATTTCGAATAACATATATACACACAAGCGCGCGCCCAAAACCTACGTACATCCATCCACCCAGATGCGAGCGGACCGCCCCTTTTCGTGGCCTCTCCCACCTGTAAAGCTCCTATGGTTCCTTCTACGCAGTATAGGTTGTTGATCATTCAAGGCCTTCACAAGGACCAGAGACTGTCTGTTTCAACCGTTCAAGATACGATAGCTTCGTCTATAACCTCATAATTGCAATATGATCGCGAAGATCACAGTGAATGCCCATTGTGCCGCGGGAACAAGACCTGCAGAAGCTGCAAATGCAGAGATGTACAACATTAGATTCAGCGATTATTCAGAAGATCAAAAAAAGCTAGTACGCTTTTAACTTAGAGGCAACTGTAATATATCATGGAAAAGTTCCTGGTCTGGGACAAATGCCAAAGACAATTAATAAGTTTCATGATAAGAATAACAAGTGCATTGAAAAGAATTAATCGTGATTCTACAAAAAATTATCTCATTCGCAATTATCTTGCATGGCTACCACAAACGGGGATAGAAGAACTCATACAAGAACTTAGATGGGAGACACAGTTAATCAGATTTATGAAGCAGTGAAGCAGGATGCATATTACTTACATGAATTCGGTGAGGTAGCAACCGACGGCGTCTGCACAGGTTTATCTGTATGATTTTCGGTCGTCGATGGGGGTTGAACATGAGAATAGACCACATGTGGTAAGGGACTAGACACGGGAACCCTACGCGGATGATGTGCTTGTGGGGATGGAGAAACCCCAGAATACCGGGGAGCAAGTGCTGGTGCAGGAACTGGAGCTACATGAGACTGCTTTCCATTGTTCCCTGAAGACTTCCCTTTATAGCCGAATCTACAGCCAGGAGGCCTTGCCTCATAACTCGGCTCAGGTGCAGGTGACGGTGAGCTTTTGCTGTGTACAGGTGAGATTTTTCTATGGGCAGGTGAAACGGCTCGAGGTGAATGCGCACTATCATGAGTTGCAGGCGCTGGTGAAATCGTAGGGGGCTCATGCTCGTTATGGAAGTGATGGTGGTGAGAGTGGTGGTGGTGGTGGTGGTGTGCATGGTGGGGCTCAGGAAGAGGAGCTGGAGAAGGTGGTAATGATGGTCCACCTCCGTCGCCACCATTGAGAGAGTGCTGCAATATCGATGAAAGACGGACTTGCTTGACCTTGCCAAATATGGTATTGTTGAGACCAAGATTTCCTGAGTGAGAACCCGTGATTGTCTGTGCCAGCTGCTTCAACCTTGGCATTGATGGCATGTTTCCAATCGCCAGCAAAACGGATGACTGAACTATAGTCGGAGGAGCCACTGTTGAACCTCTGGTATTCGATAAGCTAATGTACAAGTTCTACACAGAAAAAAATCGCCAGAACTAGTAAGATTCACCAGATTGTTTAGTACACACACTACATCAATAGACACACTCGTATAAGTATAATCCAACGGGGGGTAAGAAAAATCCCTTTTAGATAAATGATAACAGCCAAACTTTTTCTCACACCACCTTAAAAATCCCCACAGGTCCCTAGAAGCATGAGAAATAATGCTAGTGATCCACAGAAGTAAACAAATAAAAATGGAGGACGGATACTATAAGGTTAACCAAAATATTGCTTGCAGGAGATGATAACTGAAGACACGAATGTGCTAAGTCAGAACATTCTAAAAGAAACAAGGAAAAGGTGCTCCTCTCTAACCTCATAGGACGAGAGACGCAATCCTGATCTCAACTGGCTTATGAGATCATCAAAATTCGCTTGTATTTGCTCTATGGAGTAGTTTAAGGTGAAGTTGAAGTAGATCTGCACTTTCTGCAGAAGAAATGCTCTCTGAGGAGGGATGATGGTAATTCCTCCGGGAAACTTTAGCACCTCAAATGAGAATGGGTCGCCAAATAAGGATGTAGTCAAACGGAGAAATAATTGGCGTGTAACCAGAGACTCAAAGGACTCCTTTATCAAACTTTCGGTAGTATTAGATATTTTTGAATTTTTGGCATCGGGATCGATAGCAAACACGACCTTTGCTGAATTTGATCCACCTAAAGGCTCCACAGATAAGATAACTACCTGTTCAGAGGACGGGGAAGATCAGCCTCATAATCAATAAGATGGTTAAAAAAAAGGAATTGGGAGGCACATACTCTGGTAGCCACGTGATTGATCTCTGCAAAAATGTCATCTTCGAGCTGCAAGATATTATCTTGAAGTAGGAGAACCGGCTTCTCAACATTAAAGGTAGCTACTATATCATGACCTGGAAAGATCAAAAAATGAATAACAGATCAATCTTAAGCATAGAAGAGTACTTTTCTTTTACTTTTGGCCATAAGGATCACATTACTTGAACATTCCAACCAGACATTGAGAGGATAAATAAAGAGATAAATTTGAAAATTGAAAAATGCAAGGCTTAGATCAAAAGCATGAAGGTGAACAAGATCCAGAAATAGTGAAAATGAATTCAAGAATTCCAATAGATTGAACAACTCATAGATTTCTTTTTTTAACATCCTAATCTTGTCAGGCCGACAAGCTACATTGGTACTGAGGAGCTTCTATCACATGTGCAAACCTGCATCAAAGCATGACAGGCATACTCAACCCAGAATGCGCCAGCATGTACATTTATAAGAAATAACAAGAAACTGTCAGTGACTGCAAACTCGAATCCCAACTATGCAGCCGCGATTATTTCCCATATTGTTGTATGGAAAGTGGCATCGATTTAATTTTTGGTAAATTGATATATCCCCAGTGGACGAAGTACGTAAAATTTAATCAATCATGCAGTTTTATCAAGAGTCGGGCAGAACCAAAAACCCTTATAAAAGTCATTGGATCCTTTACTCCTAGTGACGCAACTAACAAAAGCCTGAAACAAGCCTTTCTTTGCTAGTTGGTACAGGTACATTAGGTGAAACGTTGGACAGAGAGATGAGAAACCCAGCATCATGGAAGCTGTGGATTGTAAACCCCGAAAAGAAAATCAAGGACAGCTCTGTCATTTGATTAGCAGCAACAATATGACCCTTCCGGTACAGAAAGATGCACCATAAGACAACCATGGGTTGGCAAGCAGTTTAAGGATGGATACACTAAATACCTTTAACAAAAGCAACAATGAAAGATTTTTGGAAGAGATGGAATCTCAGTGCATGAAACTAAACGAAGATGAGGGAAGGTTCAAAATTTTATCGAAAGGGTCTGATTGGTTGTATTAACAGGTAACAGCATATATTTCCACTTTGTTACAAGCTAGAAAGCGTGCAACAGAATTTGTAAAAGCCACAAGATTAGAAACCAGATTTCAAACCCTGAATAACCATGAAACCTTTGCAAACTGAGTGCACGAATATCATCTGACAAACCAGGTGCAGAATATTATGAAAGCATAACATTTACACTACCTGACCCAGCAAGAGATAAATTAGGTATAATTGGACACACGAAAAGGGGAGCATGAGCAAGCACAAAGCATGTATATGCTCCGAAAGGAAAGACAGATCCATCAATCCAGTTTGGTAAAGATTTCATCCCCATAAGGCAGGTCTCTAATTGACTATAACAGAATAACCAAATTAAAAGCTAAAATTAAACCACGTGTTTATTCATTTGCCATCAAAACTGAATGGAAACTTTCCACTTCTATGCAAATTGGAAGGATCATAAGACGCATTAATTCGAATTCTTACTTAGTTCTATATGTAGACAAAAGCCAATCAGAGTCTTCCTAATAGAGTAAATTCCCTCATTTTCTACTTCTAGCAATTAAAGATGAAGGGACCCCTCAAATCAAATGAAAACAGAGGAACTGCGACTAATTCTCCGCAAACGCGCACGCTTAAAACTCCACTATATCTATCCTCCTCGGATCTTCATCTGCAATTACTCCCAAAACATTCCTAACAACCCCAGAAGCAAGAACTAAACCATGTACCACAAACAGCTTCAAGAACCAACGAACCCTCGAAACCACGTGTCATCTCCAGGCAATGTCGGCACACGAATTCAAGTAAACCAGGAAAATGCGAGCACCCATCAAGACGAGATTCCAAGAATCCACCGCGAAGACCCACCTCTAAACCTCGGATCCAGATCCAGATCTCCCCGATCTGCGAACCGCAAGAACGGGGGCAACCAAAACACGGCAGACAAGAACACGGCCACGGACAACATTAGCGCCGCCACGCATCTGACCCCGACACGCTTCGAAACCCCGCCGCACCCACAACGCCATCGCTCCGCATTCCGCTCGGAAGTGATCGAGACCACCGTCGCGGCCACCTGCTGCTCTTCCTCGGCGCCCTTCCCCATTGTGAAGAACCGACAATGCAGGGCTAGTCCCGGGAGCACCGGCGGCGAAGGCCACCGCCAAACCCACGTCCGGCCCGGCGAGCTGGGCCCGAATGAGGCGCACCCATTTCCGCCGCCTTGCTTGCAGAGCGAGGAACCAACACAGGAAAAACCAAAAAAAATGGCGTCAGCAGAGCGAAACCCGAGCTCCCCTTGCCGATGTCTTTGTACGCATTCAAAAGGGTTTGTGAGTGAGCAAAAACAGAGCAGCTCCCTCTTCTGCAAACGGATCACTCCATGCTCTCCCTCTCTCCCTCTCTCTAGGTAGCCTTTCTCTCTCTAGTACTCCATCACAGTTGTTTTAGTCATGGCCCTCATGGGGGATGGTGGTGGTTTATCTGTTTCTTTTGTGAGCTTTTTTGTTTGTTCTCATGCATTGTATTGTACTTGTATGTACACAACCCCGCCTCCCCCCCTCCTCCTCCCCATCTTTCAAGAATACCCACCAAACAAAAACTCCTTTTCTTTCCCTTTTATCTTTTCAATGGTGGGTGCTTGGCTTCATTCAAAAGTGATGCACACAGAAGAGAGAGTGAGAGAGAAGAGAGAAGAGAGAGAGGCAGGTATGGAATGAATTAAAAAAACCTCAGGCACCTCCCTGCGCACTTTGAGACAGCGAGTATCGTGGAAAGAGAGGGAGGGAGAGAGAAGTTTTAGCTTAGTTTTGCTCCAAGTTGATTAGGGATGGGTTAATCAAGAGAGATTAGGGACGGGGGAAGAGTCTGCGATTGTGGTGAGGGTGGTTTTGACTCCCGTGGCCTAAAGTGTAGTGAAAGGCGTGTGGCGTAAGCCGGGGTGAAGTGCAAGCTAACCATCAGTTTGGTCAACCAAAGTTAAAACCAAAGTCTTCCCCCCCCACCACTCCCTATTTTTTTCACCTTCCAAAAAAGAGATCCTAGATTTTCAAATCATAATTTCGGTGGCATTGTTTGTTATTCAATACTTGATGATTCAATACCAAAAAAAAAAGAAAACACCCACGAAGTTGATACATCGGAAATTGTCAAATTAGAGGAACTCGAAGTTGATACATAGGAAATTGTCAAATTAGAGGAAATGATGGCGATCACTTTTCGAATTAAGGGTGCGGTTGTTTCCCAGAAAATGGATGATTTGAAAACTATTTTCCTAAAAATGATTGTTTGTGTAACTTCAAAATTAGTCAATGAAAAATATTTTCGTGATCGATTGCGATTTATGTCTAAATATTTCCGTTGACGATGAAAATATTCTTCATTCACTCGTTTTTGTAGGCTCCATTTATTTCACGGAAAATGAATTATTGGAAAAAGTTTTCTCAGGGATGATCGATTGCATCGCCTACAAAAATGAGTAAATAAAAAATATTTTCATCGTCAAAGAAAATGTTTGAATCGCGAAAATATTTGTCATTTGTTAATCATTTAAAGCGATATAATAAATCATTCATTTTCAGGTTCCGTTTGCTTCACGGAAATGAATAATTTGAAAAATATTTTCCTAAAATTACTACTTGTATCGCTTGGAATAATTAGCCCACGATAAATGTTTTCGTCATCGATAAAATTTTAAGTCTAAATATTTTCGTAGGTGATAAAAATATATTTCATTTATATCATTTTGTGAGTAATATAAGCGATTATTTTTACGTAAATATTTATCGAATCATTTAATTTTCTCGAAATAATAATAGCCTAAATGATTTCGAGAATCGTGGAATTAGACTTCGGACTTTAGTGTCCGAATATAATGGATAAATCTAGATGCGTCTGCAGTGTTGTACACGGTGCTGGCCCTTTTCGTGACCCGCCACGATCCCCTATCCCCCTTCACAACACAAGGACAGAAAAAATAAAAATAAATGAAAAATAAAAAATAAAAAAGCTAAATCCAATTTAAAAAAAAACCAATAAATAGAGACAGGAAAAAAGAAAGAAATTCAAATGTGTTCATTAAAAACCAGAGACTGCGAGACCCACAGGAACAAAATTTAATCAATACTGGTTCTTTATATACATATTTAATCTAGCAAATTGCGAAATTACCCACAAAATATGCAGATTCAATTTAATCACCCGGGTAATTTCGAAGTACAAATTCCGATGCGAATCGTTACACGATATTTTGCAAGAGATCACGCGCCGGCTTCCTCCGTCCCCCGACATACGAATAACGGGTTGTACTCCTTTTTTCTCACGTTAGATAGCACGCGCACGTATTAAAAGCATGAGCGGAAAATCGTACGGGATGTTCGGCTTCCCTTTTACCATATTTTCAATCGATAGAGTTCGTAACTATACTCTTATTTAAATCTCAGGCTCCGTTTGTTTCGGCGGAAAAAAAATGAACGATTTGGGAAAGAAACATTTTCCTAAAAATGATTGCCCATGCCGCTCACAGAAAAAATGAATGGACGAGAAATATCTCCACCGTCCACAAAAATTGCCGTCGATAAACGAGTTTTCTCTTTTCATTGGCCGATTAATTCGGGCGATATAAAAACTTTATTTTTTAAGAAAATATTTTCCAGATTAGTTTTTTTTTTTTCCCGGCGAAACGAACGGGGCGCTAATAAATGCCTCGGGTTTTTTTTTTTTAATGAAAAGAAGAAACGTACGGATGGATTTAAATTGAGAGGGGTTAATGGTCGGTAGGCTACGAATCTCCATCGCGGGGGTACGAAGTGGGAATGTGGGGGAAGAGGAGCGAGAGCGAACCTTCCCTCCTCTCTCTCTCTCTAGAAGTAGTCACGTGAGGCCCACGCGCCAGTCACGGGATAAAATTCCCCGATTTTCCCAGTTTTCCTTCCGTTCTTTTCATTTTCCTGATTTCCTCCTCTTCTTTCTCTTTATAATTTTTTCTTTTTTGAATTTTAATGCTTTGGTCGGCCAACCGCGCCCTCCCCGTGATCAAGATTAAGACCCGGCTCACGTCATCGTGTGGATGGACGAGGGGAGGGGGGGTGGTTCATTGCCCTTCGCATTATCTCGTGTGTGTTTTTTTTTTTGGGGCTCGCCCCGCTCGAAGACCTTGAGGAGCAGGGCAACTCGAGAACCGGATTAGTGGGAATCTGTCCAGTTTCAGGATATGTAAGATAGGTTCCGGATTTTAAAAATTGGGAAATCTTAGATTTTTGGTAGGTGGAACCTTGAATAAGTTTTTTGTGTTTTTTTTTTTTTTTATCTATGTCTTCGCATGATCCTGGAACATTTTATGGTGTCCAATGACGAGTTTATAATATAGAACCACTGGTCTGAGCTTCCATTTTATGACTAGGACTTTTGCTTTGTCGGTGTTTTACTATTCTTCGTATGTCTAAATATATGTCGTGGTAAATAGATTATAACAGTAAGCGGAGGTCATTAAGGGCGATGATTCATTGTAATCGTTTTAATTAATAGTGCATGTTGAACCTAGGTAGACCTTGAAACCGACCATGGAACTTGTGATGCTGTTCCAGATTACAAAGGAAGAGGAACGTGCTCTAACGGGTAGGTTCTAGGTCCCATGTGGAACCTACACGGAATCTGGAATCGCTCACCCTTAATAAAGAGAAATCGATTACTTCTAACGGGTAGCCCGACACCCACCCGTCGTGACCAGTTTCTTGATCCACATTGGATACATCGGTATCCCCTTCGTTACGGATTAGGGGGTAAAAGGGGTAGATCACCGATTTGGTATCAGGATTATCGTATGGATCATGATGCTTGTCCTGAACTTTTTTCGATTATTCCAATGTGGTCATAGACCTCTGTGTGAAAGTTTCGATATACTCCTTCTCGCCGATTTCGGCATGTAAGTATCGTCGTTGCGGCGATCCGGCGTGAACGATTTTAAACAGAATGACATCACGTCGATTAATTTTCCGAATCTTTTCCGGATTTTTGGTACCTTTTCATTTCCTTGTTCTCGTTCATGTATTTCCATGTGTTCCCCCTATGAAGCATATAAGCCCCTCCCAGCGAGAGAGACCGCAAAGGAGCCTCAAAGCTCAAACCGAGCTCTCCAACCCTTGAAAGAAGAACAAACTATCGTCCTTCATCTAGTATGCCTCAAACTTAGAACGCCTTTCACGCTTTGGTTTATCGGCACAAAGTGAAACTAACTTAGGACTGTAATCTGATGTCAAAGAGCAATTCTTCTCAAAAGATAGTCAGAAAATTCATGCCTACGCTCCGACCGAAAAATTCATTAGAGAGTTGACACTCGATCTCGTCGCTTTCGTCCATCTCCTACTTCAGCCTCTCCTCTCGAAGAGAGAGAGAGAGAGAGAGGGAAAGCCGCATGCAATGCCGTCGAATCTTCATAAAAAGCACGTCCAAGGTCGAGTTTTCGCGCAACCGAAGAGAAATGGAGCCGCCCGTCATCTCAAAATAGCTCAACGCCATGAGAATTAACAATGTTATCGGGGAGAATGCGTTACGTGGTCACTAATTTACGCAAAAAAGGAGTCTTGGACCAGAGAACAGTCAAAATGAACAGTCAAAATGAACGCTTGAAATTTTATGGGATTATTGTTAAACTGTTCTAAAAATTTAAGCGGTTATATGAATACATGATTTAATATTTAAATCTTTTCTCACTCCCCTCACGCTTAATTTGATTTTTTTGGCTTAATACCAAACGTGGACTTATTTAATTGGAGAGGCAACCTGAGCTTGAAAAAATTCGAACTTAAGACTCTTGCTATGATATTATGTTAAATTTTATGGACTACGCTAACCATTTTAAACGCATGAAACCGCGGTTTAATATTTAAATATTTTTTCGGGGATGCTATCTTCACCCGGCCCTTCACAGAACATGAGCCTCCCCATGAAGTGTCGACGTCGGTGGCTCCACAAGTGTCGAACAAGCTTGAAGACCTCGAGCTCCGCTGAGGTGTTGAGCTTGAACCCGAGATATGGAGGACTCAACCACCGCCCGAGCCCCCAAATATGGATGGCTCGAGCTATGTCACGACCTCGGGCTCGGAGGCCCAGGCCTAGATCAACTCGGGGTTGAGGGTTCGATGGGGGAGCTTCCGACGGAGGACCGGAGTGCCGTCTTTAGCCTCTTGACCGAGCACAGCCAAATGGAGTGGTGGAAATATTTGGTGAAAAGGGGGTCCTGAAATTGACACTCAAAAATAAAACCGAAAAAGAGCAAATTGTCGGACTCGGAGATTAACAGTGTAGGAAAAAGAAGATGAAGATAAATAGTGACCAAAGAGAAAAAAAAAAGAAAAAAA